GAGGGCTGATTGGTACGTTTACAAACCTTTAGCTAGACAGAGAGTAAAGATTGCTGTGTTTACAATCCTTTACGTAGAGGGAAAAGTTCTCCAAGTCCACACCCAACCCAGAACCCCAGCTGACTTCACCTCTCAACACTCTTGCACACTCACATACACGTGAACAGAAACACGCACAGTAACACTCTTGCACACACACACACGTGGACAGGCGCACTTTTGCAGCACAGGACTCACTCTCAAGTCCATGCCCACACGCACAGAGGCAGCTTTGTGAACTCTGAGGGACACAGACCCAGTGTCCTGACCCCTGTGAGCTCCTCAGTTCTCACCCTGCCTCTGTCTGCTAAACAAAGGTTACAGCAGGGCTCTGAACACTGAGGTGTGCCCGAGGCCATTTGTCAGGGGAGGCTGAGTGGCTGCCAATTAACTGAGTGCTTTAATTGTGAGGCATCATTATGGAACCCATCTCCCCAGCACTGCTCTTCAGATGTCAGACATGGAAGAGAACACGCACGTGAGCGACCTACAAACTCCAGATCACGGTCATGTGCCATCCCAATCTATCCCCCATTCTCCTGCAGGGCCCTAATCTGACCTTCAGTGAATAAAAATCAAAGTTGAATCAAGTTCAACAACGGGAAACCTGCTGGTGATTAAAAAGTGATCATTGTTTCTGGTGACCAGAGGTGTCATAAGGACAGTCTTTAAGGAGGAACTTGGAGATCCTGCCCTTTGAGTGGCTCTGCATTCATAAATCATCACACCTTCCCAACCTGACACACCTTTTCACTTCCCATTAATTCCAAAACTACTTTCTGGTTTGGTAGTTAGCTTTCAAACTGTCAGGACAGAATGTAATTGAAAGTGAATTTGATTAAAGGAAAAATAGCTCTGCACACCAATGATTGGGGTCTGATTTGTTCCAGGGATGAGAGGAGTGGAGCGGTGTCAAAACACAGGGGAGCTTCTCCTGCACTCAACAGGCCAAGCCCAGACAGAACATCAGTCAACTGAGGCATGAGAAGGTTTCTGATGTGAGGTAGGTTCTCCTGCGGATGGAGGGCCGGCAGCAAACGAACCACAGTGACCACTGTAGATAGCTTCCTTGTCTCGCAGCCTCGACAGAAGGCAGGTCCCAGGACAGCTTCAGTTTTCCACGAGGAAACTGAGGCACCAAGGGTAAGACTTGCTATCACTAACCCTGCTAGTAACTGGTACATGCAGTATAAGAACCCAGGGCTGAGGCCATCAAGCACATCCTCACTTGCCTTAGAACCAGAGTAACCTGGCACTAAAAAAAAAAAAAAAAAAAGGGAATACACAAGACTTCTTGATATAAATTTTCTGCAGCAGTTGGAAATAATTTGTCCTAGAACCAGAGACTAAATAATCAGGAACATTAGAGACTGTCTAACTCAAAATCCCTTATAATAAACATGGGGCAGGGCACAGAGATGCTGGGTTTCTCATCCAGATTCACAGGAGAGTGCCTTGTGCACCGTGGGTCTGAAGACTCTCGGTCTGAGTGTCCATATCCGTCGTGTGGGGCTCAGTTCAAAGATCCCAGGGCCAGCTCTAGGAATTTTCAAACAGTATGCTGACTCTATACAAACCCCCGTCGCCCATTCCTTTCTGCTAAGGATTAGAATCATTCTTGAGAATTTCAACAACACATGCTCCCAAATGTACTAGATACAAGGAGAGCGTTTGTTAGAATATTCTGTGGATAAAACCTGGGGCACAGGGACTCAGCAGCGATGCACATTTGCCACAAAGGTGCCCTGACCCAAACTTTCCAGTTAGAAGGCAGCGAATATGCGTGTTGACACTTTGTATTCAAATACACATTTCTACGATGAAATACCTTCCACAAGAAACAGCTTCCAGCAATCTTTCTCCCTATCATCTGTTTGAAAGACACGCTTATGCGTAGAGAAGGGAGTGCATAGTGAACAACCTCTTCGCTTATTTGTAAATTTTGGAAAGCATAGGTGAAATAGTCACCGTTTTAAAGAGAGACTGTACTTTAAATGAGAAAAGGTCTTAATTAGTCCAGAGAAGGACTTTCTAGTTGCTTTTCTCCTCCAGACAAAAACCATTAATTCAAATGTGCTGAGGGAGGTTTCGGAATATTGCACTGGAGCTTTGAAATTGCCATTAGAATGGCCCACGTTTATTCCTGCCATGCACGATTAGAACAGAAAGCCAACAACAGCACAAAACCCTGAGCTCCAGTGAACACCAAGCAGGAGCTCATGAGATAAAGGGTGATTTCCTAAAAATGAGGGCAGATGCTTCTGTGAACATATGTCAGTGTTACACGTACACTTGCTAGTCTTCATTCAGAGAATACGTTTTGTTTTGTTGTATTCTACATACATATATGGCTTCCTGGCTCTGAGCGCATGGTAGAGAAACCCGGGCAAAGAATGATCACCTTTGCCTTCCTGGCCTCAAAGACCAATGGCCATACTGCATTTCCTGATTGGGTCAAGAAACGGATCTCCCATATAAAGGAGCAATTATCAAGTGTTTCTTCCCTTTGGGGGAACTATTTTAAGGAATATCAAGACACAAATTCATATTTGATATAAATAAGCTTTCTAAGTTGTCTTCATGAAAAACATATGACATCTCTCTTTGTACATATTAAAAACCTTCCTTAATTTTTTTTGGGGGGGATTATCATTAGTTTTTTTTTTTTTAATACTTTAAGTTCTAGGGTACATGTGCATAACGTGCAGGTTTGTTACATATGTATACTTGTGCCATGTTGGTGTGCTGCACCCATCAACTCATCAGCACCCATCAACTCGTCATTTACATCAGGTATAACTCCCAATGCAATCCCTCCCCCCGCCCCCATCCCCATAATAGGCCCCAGTGTGATGTTCCCCTTCCCGAGTCCAAGTGATCTCATTGTTCAGTTCCCACAATACTAGTCTCTGATAAAACAAACTTTAAACCATCAAAGATCAAAAGAGACAAAGAAGGCCATTGCATAATGGTAAAGGGATCAATTCAACAGGAAGAGCTAACTATCCTAAATATATATGCACCCAATACAGGAGTACCCAGATTCATAAAGCAAGTCCTTAGAGACTTATGAAGAGACTTAGACTCCCATACAATAATAATGGGAGACTTCAACACCCCCCTGTCAACATTAGACAGATCAATGAGACAGAAAGTTAACAAGGATATCCAGGAATTGAACTCATCTCTGTACCAAGCGGATCTAATAGACATCTACAGAACTCTCTACCCCAAATCAACAGAATATACATTCTTCTCAGCACCACATCGCACTTATTCCAAAATTGACCACATAATTGGAAGTAAAGCACTCCTCAGCAAATGTACAAGAACAGAAATTATAACAAACTGTCTCTCAGACCACAGTGCAATCAAACTAGAACTCAGGACTAAGAAACTCAATCAAAACCGCTCAACTACATGGAAACTGAACAACGTGCTTCTGAATGACTACTGGGTACATAACGAAATGAAGGCAGAAATAAAGATGTCCTTTGAAACCAATGAGAACAAAGATACAACATACCAGAATCTCTAGGACACATTTAAAGCAGTGTGTAGAGGGAAATTTATAGTGCTAAATGCCCACAAGAGAAAGCTGGAAAGATCTAAAATTGACACTCTAACATCACAATTAAAAGAACTAGAGAAGCAAGAGTAAACACATTCAAAAGCTAGCAGAAGGCAAGAAATAACTAAGATCAGAGCAGAACTGAAGGAGATAGAGACACAAAAAACCCTCCAAAAAATCAATGAATCCTTCCTTAATTTTTGAACAATTTACCGTTGGGCACAGTCCATAGTTGTAGGTTTAGAAGTAGATATAATTTATAAAATCATTATAATATGCCAGGCATAAAGGCCATGTGTTTTTATATTTCTCCTAGCATCCTCAAGAAACATCTGTGAGGTATGGAAATCAAAGAAAATGACCGAGACAAGTCTCAATCATTTTAGGAGGTTGATTTGCCAAAGTTAAGCTCCCATGGCTGTGAGATAGGTCTACGCCTTTCTCCAAAGACGATTTTGAAAGCTTCAATATTTAAAGGGGACAGGGTAGGTATTGGAGGAAGAGAAATGTTTAAAATATGTGGGTAGATAAGAGAAAAACAGTTACATCCTTTTGAGTCTTTGATCAGCCTTTCACTGAATATACAATTTTCATTTGAGGGAGGGGTAGAGGAACAGTCACCTATGTCTTGGTCTGGCCCAGTGAATCTGCATTTTACATAAGACAATATAAACAATAGGGCAGAGCAAGCCATCAGACAAGCATTTGTCTCAGGTGAGCAGAGGGATGCCTTTGAGTCTCACCCTTTGCCCTGCGCCTGTGAACAGCATCTATCCATTTGCATGGCCTGGAGAAATGTCACAGAATTGTTTTAGGGTAAAGATTTTGGGGTCCACAAGGAATTTCCTGCTGAGTAAGTTGTGAGGGAGATATGTAGCTTTTATCTTATTTAAGAACCTGATGGGAGGCAGGTTTGTGTGATCCAGTTTCCAGCTTGACTTTTTCCTTGGGCTTCGTGAGTTTGGGGTCCCAGAATTCATTTTTCTTTCACAGGTGGGTACCACAGGACAACCACAAAATCCTCCCGAGGCTTGGATCAGGTCAGCACCAAGCAGGGTCCTGTGAAGTGTGCAGAGCCTGCTAGCCCTTCGCCTTCATACTGCATTCCGTCAGGAGGGGGACTTGGAGGGTTAAGCCACATGTTCGGACGGGAGCTGAGGAAGGGGCGTAGCTGCAACTGATGCCAAGCTCTTTCTCCAAGCCTGGGACCCTAACCATGAAGCGGGAAGAACCGTTAGAATCTGCCGTTATAAACGTCTTACAAAACATGTACAAGAAAAGGTAGACAAGCCAGTCCTGAAAATATAAATTGAAAAAGACCTGAAGCAAAAGTTAAGGTGACTAATTCTCAGATATTCCCTCTCTTCTCCAAAACTCTCAAGATTTGGCCACCCCGCAGCTCCTTGAGGACGTTTGCTCTCACAACACAAGAATCCTCTCCGAATTTCAGGGTGAAGAAAACATGAGTCACGTCTTACATTTCCGTTGATGACAGCAGGTGAGTCACATAGTGGGCGTCCAGCCATGTTGCCATGTAGCTCAGAAGGAGCCTGACACAAGAAGGGGCCGGCCATCTGTGGAGGTGGTTGGGGCAGCCAAGTCAGACTCCAGAGTGGGGGGCAGGGGTTAGGTGCAGTGAGAGCAGCTCAGCCACTGAGCTCCAGAGGGAGAGGAGGCCCCATTTCAGCATGGAGGTCATGGGGGTTAAATCTATGTGTCAACCTGACTAGGCCACGGTTCCCAGACATTTGGTCAATCATTGTTGCAGATGCTGCCGTAAAGGTATTTTTTAGATGAGATAAATCTTTAACTCAGTAGACTTTCAGAAAAGCAGATGACCCACCTTAATGTGGGTGGGCCTCGCCCTAACAGTGGGGGCCTTAATGGAAAGACTGCTGCCCCTAGAAGAAGAAGGAATTCAGCCACAACCTTCGGACTTAAACTGCAATTCTTCCATGGGTCTCCAGCCTGTGGGCCTACTTTGCAGAATTTAGTCTTATCAGCCCTACTATAGTGTGAGCCAGTTCTTCAAAATTTCTCTATCTTGTCTTTCTGTTTCTCTACACATATATGTGTGTGTAAGGGAGGTGTGGGTGGGTGAGTGTGCATGTATGAACCACACACATATACATATTATGTATACACACACATATATATGTGCACATATACATGCACATACACACTCCCCACCCCCTCACACATGCATGCATACACACATGCATACACACACACATGCATGCACACACACACACACATATATTTATATGTATCTATATATTGATATATATATATATGTAGTCATGTGCCACATAGTGATGTTTCAGTCAATGAGGGACCACATATAGGACGGCAGTCCAATAAGATTACAATACCATATTTTTACTATGCCTTTTCTATGTTTAGATACACAAATACTTACCACTGCGTTATAATCGCCTATACTATTCAGTACGGTCATAGCAACACAGGTTTGTAGCATGGGAGCAACACACCTAGCCTAGGCAGGCAGTGGGCTATACCGTCTATGTCTGTGTAACTGGCTGAACACTCCATGATGTTCAGCTAACAACACATTTCTCAGAACACATCCCCATCATTAGGGGACACATGTCTCTCTTTCTTGTTCTTTCTCTCTCTCTTTCACACACACACCAGTTGACATAAAATCTCCACCTGGCAGGTGCCCTGGGACATGTGTGTGAGTAGGGAGGCTCCATGCATGACTCTTGACTCTAAAGCCCTTTATCATTCCAGGACAGCGTGTCGGGACCCACTCACTCAAGGTAACTGCACCAGACCATGAACCCAGCCACCACATGCTGACACGCACACAGGCACATGCACACAGACACACCACTGTCCTGCAGATGAGTGGATCCAAGCTTCTCAGGGTGGCACAGGTCTGCTGACAGGGGAGTTGCAGCCCCATCGGGGCTGGGGGAAATAGATGTTAAGCCCCACTGTTTCCTTGGCCCTGTGGCAGTGGAGAGGAAGACATGGTCCAAGGCAACCCTCTCAGCTCCAAGCGGAAGGATCCCTTGAACCAGCATTGTGAGTGAAAATATGCACTTATGGGAATTTCAAAGACCCCTTGAGGAAGGAAGTTTTGTACAGATGGGGTGAGCTGGGCTCTGCTGAGTTTAGAGTCTTGCCATTTATGGGACTGCACGGGCACTCACCAGCCAGTCATTCTGAAATACGTAAATGACAATCCCGTCCACTGGGCTCTTGTCTGGGCCTTTGTTCACCTGCATGCTGACCTCTGTCTCCACATTCGAGGAGGTCTCTCTCTCCCTGACACTGGCAGCACCCACCTTCTTAGCCTTTCTTGTGCTTCCCTCTTGGGGAAGACGAATGATAAAAACAGGCAGAGGAACGTGAAAAGACCAGACTGGCTAGTCTTCTGGCCTTCGTCTTTCTCGTGTTCCGGATGCTTCCTGTCTTCCAACATCAGACTCCATGTTCTTTAGCTTTTGGACTTTTGGACCTACACCAGTGACTTGCCAGGCGCTCTTGGGCCTTTGGCCACCGACCGAAGGCTGCACCGTCAGCTTCCCTACTTTTGAGGTTTGGGGACTAGGATTGGCTTCCTTGCTCCTCAACTTGGAGACAGCCTCTTACGGGACTTCACCTTGTGATCACGTGATTCACTACTCCTTAATAAACTCCTATATATATCCTCTTAGTTCTGTCCCTCTAGGGAACCCTGACTAATACAATTACCAACAACAAGTATTTCCTGACTCTTGCCTTTTACAAAGACATGACCAACCTTCAGGTTTCCAGCCACTTTCTCTACAGCTGTGTTTTTCAATCACTTTTTCAATCACCTTAAGAGGCCTTTTTAGATCTCTTTTCTTGATGGCCTCAACCCATATAAATTTGAGGACACAGACCAATCGTATGTTTGATTATGAATTGGAAATACGTCTGTGTTTTATGCAAAAAATTAGTACTTTCTTTTATTCTCCCCATCACCCCCAAAACAGTTTTTGTCCCCCTGGGTTCTGACGTGTTTCCTGTTGAGGATATATGCTCTATGGCTCTTCATGGGTGGCTGGGAGCTCCAGAAGGAAATCACGCTATGGACATAACTGGGGCACTGGATGTTTATTCTTTCTCTCCAGTGAGCCCCAGTATGCCTTAATGATGCTTTTACTTGCCTCTGGTCCAGAGATTTACTAATGCACTGGTGTTCCCACCCCAGCTGCAATCCACACAGCAGAAAGAGCAGAAGTTACCCCGAGAAAATGCCATGTCCCCCTGCTGTGCTGCAAATCTTTCTTCTTTGTCTTTTTGTTTCCTTTCTCCAAATACTTGCTACTGCACCTCTGCCCCAGAATTAATACCTTCAGCTGTGTTCTGAATCTCATATCCTTTCATCACCTCCAAGATTTTATGCTTTCTGTTAATAACTTTACCTTCAGTGTCTGCATTCTATATTTTTACAAATGAAAAATTACATGCAAAAAAATTGGAACAAGTGTGCCATATGTTACTAGATCCTGGGATACCCAATTTTTGAATATGAGTTTGTCTTATCTTGTGCTTTCACCATGCCTGCACCATACATTTTTTCCCATACCCAAAAGGTGAGTATTTTCTAAACTTGTCTTACTCTCTGTCAAAATCTTAATCTCTCTGTTAGCCCAGAAAGCTCTCTAAGAACACTCCCGATCTGTTCAACTCCTCCTTGCTTTTTTTGAGACTAAATATATTAGGTTGGTGTAAATTAAAATGAATCTCACAAACTGCAATTACTTTTGAACCAATCTATTAAGCCTGTAAGAAGTCTTCCCTCAACCTCACCAATTTCCATTTCTCAACTTTGTCCCCAATATTTACTCCTAAGTCTGAGCCCTAGAGCCCTGAGTAGAGGGTCCTATCATCATAACACTTGTACTGTCTTATCGACATAACGTCACTTGACTGTGATCCTGCAAGATTGTGTACAGCTTTGGGGGCAGGAATTATGTTATTCATTTCAGAGTTTCCAGTGCCTACACCAGACCCAAGAAGAATATGTTTTCACAAGTCTGTTGAATGGTAGAACAAATGACTGATTGATGAAAACACAAATTACTTGATGGAAGAAAAGAGATAAGAATTTTAAAAATATAACCAGCTCATGCACAGCTTGACTAAATAACTGTAACATATTAACCCATTCAGAATAAATCATATACTTTCAAAGATAAAGTAGAAGCTTCCACAGCCAGACGTGCCTCTTAGATCTCTAGGATGCATTTATCCATTTTACGGAAGCATCTACACTACACATCTCCTCAGGACAGAGACCACACTGCTTGATGACGCGCCCGCAGGCTCAAAAAGTGGCCTTCAGAAGTGTTTAAACAAATGCTTCTTGATGTTAAAAGTCTGTTCTCCAAATAAAATAGAGACAGACAGCAGCACCAAGAATTCCAGGGCAGTTTATTTGACAGAAATGTTGCTTCTGAGTACAACTGATGTGATAAAACCAACAAGGAAGATAGCAATTTTATCAGGCTTTTACTCAGTATTGCTACTTTCCAGCGACTTTGTACCAGCAGCCTGTCATCAGTTTATATAATTAAGAACTGGAAAGGATTTTGGGGCTCAATTACACCTACGAAAGAATAATCCACCCTTGAACAAAATATTTGGCAAACATTTTATTATTAAGTTCAAGCAAAAACATTCTAATTTAAAAGTTTAAATATTTTAGGGTAGATTTTCTTTGGTTCTTTCTCTTTTAATTGGTGTGAAAATATTCTTTCCTCAAACTTTGTTTTGTTTTTTTCAGTCATTGGAACATGCCCGAGGACCATCATTAAATACTAAAAGGTGAGAGGAAGCCATCTGGTCACCTCTGAGGGACTTCCAGATCTTGATGGCACTCCATCTGCATCCGTAACAATTTACTCATTACATCAAGGGCATGGAGAAATTTGAAAGTGGACCTGTATAGGAGAAACTCAGGTCTGAGTGGCGTGATGCCAGGCATACCATGCTCAGACCGCCTTCTCTCAGCTGAGCACACCTAGACTGAGTTAAACATGGTAAACATATTGCTACAGCAAGTAATACATTCACCTAGTAATGCATTCTTTTTTTTTTTCTTTTGAAAAGAGATTCTCTACAAGATGACATCACTTGCTATGCAAAACAGACATGAAGAACATGTTTGCTCCTTTCACACATGGAGCGTCCTATATCAACATCACACAGGGTTGTACAAGGAGTTTTCTTGGATGTTGAAATGGAAAAGCATTCATGGCTTCCCTGAATTTTATGACCACTGTAAACTCAATTTCCAAATAGCTGTTCTCTAGGTTAAGACAATTACACATCAAGTGTGGCTACTAGACTTCTGCTGTGCATGTCCACTTCTTCCATATGTCACGCCACTGCTGCCCGCTCCTGCACTTCGGCTCAGAGTCTCCTTGCATTGCTCTCTTGAAAGGCACCTGAAGTTCACGTCTTTACCCAAGGTTGGTAGCATGCCTCAGCCCAGTGCATAATGGTAATAATAAGAACAGCTGTTCCAATTTTGTGTATGCAAGTCTGCCTAAATCTATAATTTTCTAACCATCCTTCTTTCTGCTTTACTCTAAAATCTGCTGTGAATTAATTCAGTAATCTTTACTTTGTAAATTAGTGCTATAGATGAAAAGAGTCCAGCAACTTGCCTAATAGTTCATAACTAGTAAATGGTAAACCATGAATCCAAACCCATATCTATGCAATTGCAAATACTGAGCTCGTTTTGTTACATCATTGAAAAGATAATGAAGCCTGGGCAGATCATTACAATTTTAAAATTTACTTAAGCTGTTCAAAGGCATACCATTAAGATAATTAACAAGAGATTTCCTGGAAGTCAATACCTTGAACAATTCATTTTCAGATTTAATGTGTAAATATGTCCTGTTAATAATTAAAGGGGAAAATGAGCAATTATTTCCATCAATCTCTCTTAAGTGACTAAGAATTTTTACATGTGTTCCAATTACTCTGATTCTTGTGTGTTTTCAATCATAAATATCACTCACATTTATAAGTTGCCGATACTGAAATCCTCCAAGAGTAAAAAGACATATGTCAGATCAAGGTATTGATTTTTAACAACACTGATTTTTTTAATCATGATAAGTAAGTCTTATCCAATGTTACCTTAAACTTGAAAAGAACCGCTTGGCCCTTTGTTCCGAAGAGTCATCATGGAAAGTTGAACTTGACAGAGTTCCAAGAGAAACCAACATCCCGAGATGAGGCAGCTCATATAGTCACCCAGAGTGCACCCTCAGGTGAGATCCCCTGACTCCTTACAGGTGTCCCTTCTCTATCTCATCCTCAGCATCCCTACCTACTTCCTTCTACCAGATGAGGCCTTAGAGTGAACAAACACTTGGGTGTGTGACTTTGAAAATTGCTGTCAGTGTCAAGCATGTTTATATATATATAAATCAGTTTATGCAGAAATTACATTTTTAAAATAATGTCAGTGTTGTAGAACACAAATAACAGGTATACTCCCTTTGCAAATCATTTTACTTCAATGACTCTAAGGAAAAATATCATGGTAGCTGTGGACCAAACAGGCTGGAGAAAATGTAATGCAATGTGGACCTCATGTATTTTCTTCCTTCCCATTGGCAGTGCATTTTTCAAAGCCTGTATATCTACATAATATACACTGGTATATATCTATCACTAAGTCAATCAGCATAGCTTGATTACATTAGTCAACAGACTGTGTATTATAGTACTAAAGAAAAATAGTATAGATTAAAAGTGAAATAATAGCAATGTTTACACATAATGGAATATATAAAAGCATATTTATCAGAGTATATTTGTGAAATCAATCAATTCTCATTTTTATAAGCAATAATTAAACTAGGGGAACTGAGGTGATTATAACTCTGTAGAGAATTCATGACAGTCAAGGAATCTAAATTTTGAAATCACAGCTCCCCTAAGAGGCAGATGATGGTGGCATGCTCTAGAACTTGGCTTCCCTGTCTGTGCCTCTCCACACAGGCCAGGACTACTGCTGAGCTAGAGGGATGCACCCATGCAGGCTCCATGCACTTCTCTAGAGCACCCTTCCGGGGCTTCCCTTCATTTCATTCCCAACCATGTCACCTAGCTTACTTAACTCACTGGCATACAGTTGTTCACAGGATTCCATTATAATACTTTTGATTTCAATAAGGTCAATAATAATGTCTCAGCCGGGCATGGTGGCTTACGGGCAGGTGGATCAAATGAGGTCAAGAGTTTGAGATCAGCTTGGCCAACATGATGAAACCCTGTCTCTACTAAAAATGCAAAAGTTAGATAGGCATGGTGGCGTGCCCCTGTAATCCCAGCAACTCGGGGGGCTGAGGTGGGAGAATTGCTTGAACCTGGGAGGTGGAGGCTGTCTCATATAATAATAATAATAATAATAATAATAATAATGTCTCCTCTTTCATTCCCGATTTTTGTAATTTGAGTTTTCTTTCATTTTTTTCCTTGGTCAGATTAGGTAAATGTTTATCCATGTCATTGGTCTAGTCAAATAACTAACTTTTAGTTTCATTGACTTTGCCTATTTTCTCTTCTCTGTTTCATTTGTTTCTGCCATCTTTCAGCTTTCTTATTTTTGCTTGCTTTGGGTTTCCTTTGTCTTTTTGTTTAGTTCGGTAAGGTGGAAGTTTAATTTATTTATATGATTTTTAAAAAATACTATAGGCACTCACAGCTGCAAATTTTCCTCTAACAGTCCTTTAATTATCTGCTATGAATTTTGTGTGAACATTGTGAGTATTGTGTTTTTGTTTCTACTCTTTTCAAAGTATTTTTATAATTTTCCTTTTGTTGGGGACAGGTCCTAAGAAATATGAATTTCTTTAGAATTCATTAAAGAGAAAATATATTTGTCATCTGATGCTGTGAAAAATCTGCTTATCAGTTTATTTGTCATCTCAAGTTTTAAAAAATAAAATTCAAATATATGGAAAATTTAAAGAATTATTATCAAGATCTTTATAGTAATCAAACATTGTGTTTTTCTTTCTCAGTTTCTTGTGGAGCTCTTGGTATAATAGCGAATGCATATTTATTATGTTCACACTACATGTGCATGTAATTATGGCTGCATTATCATGAAAAGTGTTCCTTTACATGCAGGAGAGTTCTAACACTTCTAGAGACTCTGAAGGGAACTTCTTGGGATAGAATCAGAAAGTTGGCTTTCTTACAAGAAAGGTTAGTACACACTTTCTGTTCTGGTGGAATGGCAGCACCTATGGCCCCTTTGTTTCTGATGAATTACAGCTTTATACACCAGGAATATGTCTGGTGGCCCTATTTCATATCCATTCTTAAAATATGGTAATCACCTTCATGATATACATAAATTTATTGTCTATGTTGTAATAAGACACAACATAGAATGACAGGCCAGTCACGGTGGCTCACACCTGTAGTCCCAGCACTTTGGGAGGCCAAGGTGGGTGGATAACCTGAGGTCAGGAGTTTGAGACCAACCGGAACAACTTGGCAAAATCCCATCTTCTACTAAAAATACAAAAAAAAAAATTAGCCGGGAGTTAGGGAGGATACCTGTAATCCCAGCTACTCAGCGTGCTGAGACAGGAGACTCGCTTGAATCTGGAAGGTGGAGGTTACAGTGAGCCGAGATCCCGCCACTGCACTCCAGTCTGGGTGAAAGAGCGAGACTTCATCTCAAAGGAAAAAAAAAAAAAAAGACACAACATGGCATGACTAAAATCTCAGCTTTCATCTCTAGGAAGACCGCACCAGCTTTTTGACAAAGTGTTAAGTTTTCATGGTGACAAAGTCTACAGAGTCTGTCAACACTGAAGGATGACTTTCTGAGAAGGTCACAGCCTCAAATGCCTTAACAAAAAGATAAGGAATATTGATAGCATTAAATTTATAAATCAGAAGAAATGTCTCAAATCAATAACCCAACCTTCCACCTGACAAAACTGGAAAAAAGAAAAGCAAACTAAATGCCAAACAGCAGATGGAAGGAAATAATAAAGATTATAGTGGAAGTAAATAAAATAGAGAAAAAAATGCAATCAAGAAAAATCAATGAAACTTGAATTTGATTCTTTTGGAAAAGATGAACTCGTGTCATGGACCTACCAGTTTTCTGTTAGTTCTTTTTCTCCAAGACTTCCCATGGTTTTGACAATGTCCTTAGTAATTAACAAGAAAATATAGATACTAAAAATAAGTTAAAAAACAACAACTTAAACAACAGCAGACACATCTATTAATAATAGGATTTTCTACTTAATTGAAAGAGGTTAATATTCTTGACATTTGTATTAGTCCTTTCTTGCATTGCTATAAATAACTGACTGAGACTGCATAATTGATTAAGAAAAGAGGTTTAATTGGCTCACTGTTCTGCAGGCTGTACAGGAAGCATGGGTGGGGAGGCCTCAGGAAACTTACAATCATGGCAGAAGGCAAAGGGAGAGCAGGCACAATCTACTGGCTGGAGCAGGAGAAAGAGAATGAAGCGGGACACGCTATACACTTTTACAACAACAAGGTCTTGTGGGAACTCATGCACTATCTTGAGAACAGCAAAGAAAAAATATGCCCCATCATCCAATCACCTCCCAGCAGACCCCTCCTCCAACACTGGGAATTACAATTTGATATGTTATTTGGGCAGGGACACAAATCCAAATTATATCAACATTAAAAAATCAGTGTCCTTTTCACACTCTTTTGCAAGTAATGAGTCCCATCAGGCAGAACTGTAGCAGGAGCAGTCCTTATGCACTGTCTTTCCTCTGGCAGAATCTCTCCCGAGCAGGGCATGGTCTTGTCATAGACATCATCTTTACTCTATGTGTAGGTGCTGGATAAGTAATGTCATCCTGATCTTTTCCTTTGTCTTTCCTAGCATGGGAATTTCTACTCCGCAAGTGAGCTGAGCAGGGGAAATTAGAAACCAGTAATCTCAATCTGCCATGCAGAGTGTAGAGTTTGTGCTAGTAGGAGAAAGGTGCCCCAGACCTTTTGGAAGTGGGTATCTGGAATAAAACTTCTGCAACACAGATCTGGAAGAGATGTGAAATCATAATGGCCTGCCCCTTCTAGGGTAAAACCTCATCCTGAAGAACAGTTCCCACACCTTCCTGAATAATAGCTCTGCTATAGTTTGGCTCTGTGTCCCCACCCAAATCTCATGTCAAATTGTAATTCCCAGTGTTCGAGGAGGGGCCTTGTAGGAGGTGATTGAATCATGGGGTATACTTCCCCCTTGTGATTCTTGTGATACAAGTCTTTCAAGATCTGCTTGCTTAAAAGTGTAGCACTTCCCTGCCCTCT